AGGTGGAGCTGGAGGGCAGACCCAGGATTATGTTAATGCTTATTATGTAAGTGGTAAAACATGTAAATATTTTGATTTTGATGGGTTTTATGTCTGAAAATCTAGAAGCGGTTCCAGACCAGCCTGTAGCTCTGGTTGGTCGAAAGATGAATCTAGGATCTCGGATGTAAAACTCACAGAAATCAAATCAACCTAAAACTTTGATCTATAGACTGAACATGCTGGTTCTAGGGGATCGGTTTTGGATCAAAATGAAATTTATTTTTTATTTTTAGGGATTCCCCCAAGGTCCACCACAAGAGGGGCCACGACGTAGACCTATGTATCCACCACAAGGAAACTTCTTCCGGCAACAACATCCATTTGATTTCGGACCTTTTGGATATCCAAGTTCAAGGTAAGGAAGCCTTGAAGGTCTCACCACTTTTGACAAGATTACTGTATTTTTTGGAAAAGTGATGAATTGGTAGGAGTATCGGGAATGATTTTCAATTCAACTTGATAATAACACGTGTTCAGAAAGTATCCCCTACGATTGAATTTTTTCAAACGCCCGCGAAAGTTAAGCTCTACCCACAGGGCGTGGCTTGTCGATTTACGGAGGCTTCTCACTTGTTTTTTTTTTTGAGGGAGTTTTGCTCGGTTTCCTGCCAACTTTCAAGTTAATTTTGAATTTTTCTTTCACTTTTCGTATTTCTAAACTACAATCGACTTAAAAAACACTGAAAATGACTTTTCGAAAGATTTTGGAAAAATGTACGGCGGAGCGCACTCTCTGAAATTTCAGTCAAGTTTTTTCCGAAAGGGACACTTTGCGAGCCCGTGTAATAAATGATAATTAACCTTATTTGAAGAAAAAAGTCCTTCATTATACGCTTCTTCGTGGTAAGACCTTGAAGTTTTATCCCATTGAGCAACTTTTCGGAATGATTTGCGCTCCCTAATTGTTTTGAAAAGGTCATGCCACGATTGATTAGATTACTGTATTAAAAAAATCAGTTTGATCGCAAAAATTTGATAATAACTTTCGATCTGTATTGACAACAAGTCGCAGGTTTCTCTCATTGAAATAACGTTCCTACAGTATAATCTGCTCTATGGCGAGACCAACTCTGCGCTTTTATGGTATGTCAATGCTCCAGTCAACTTTATAAGAAATTACTTGACTATCTTATGAACGGCTTAGCCGGTCTCTGCGCACAAATTTTTGAAATTTGTGTGGTCTGTGTCTACAAAATCTCAGGACCTGTCATGTTGTAACCACGCTTTTATTTGATAAATGAGGATCTACTTCACAAATTCCGGTGTCAAATAAATTTTATATTTCAAAAAAATATATACCGGGTCCTGAGAATTTCCTAGCTCCATGAAAACCCTCTATCCTTCCAGAATGGGTGATGCCAACCTCGAAGAAGAGAAAACCGATCGAGAGCTCGCCATGAAGAACGCCAAGCCCGGATTCTGGAGACAAAATCAGCGGGAAACCATGGATCGAATCAAGAAAATCATTGAAGCACAACGAATGAATATGGAACAAAAACACATGCAAATCCGCAGAGTTTTAGCTCAAGAGGGAGAGGAAATCAAGGTAAAAATTTCTGAAATTTCTTGTCCATCTCTCCAAATTTTCAGTCGAAATTCGCTGATCTTCACAAGAGACTTCTCATGAAAAACAACAAAATGGCTTCAGGACAACAGGTTCCAGAATTGAGTAAGAAGGCCAAAAAACTAGAGAAAGAGGCCAAGAAAATCATGGAGAATAAGAAGATGAGCATTGAAAAGAAGCAGGAGAAACTGGATAAATTGATGTTGAAGGCTCCAGAATCTGTGAAGAACGAGTTGAATGCTATCAATGATTCTGGGTGAGTGCGGGGTGGTTACTTTAATTAAGGGCGGGTTTATGTGCGTTCCCAGTGGAGATATCAAAAAGTTGTCGACTAAAGATTTGTAGATTAAACAATTTTGAATAATTTTTTTGTTGAAAACTTTTTGAGATCTCTTCTACCAACTGGGTTATGAAGCTCCAAAGTTGCATCAGATTCCTGAGCCATGAGATTTGAGGAGCACTAGTTGGGAGCGTGATATCATGGTTAGCAAAAGAGCTATCAAAAACTTGTCAACTAAAAATTTGTTGCTAAGACAATTTTACACATCTTTTTAGTTGGCAACATTTTTATATCTCAATTGAAAACGGAGATATAACGCGTCAAACTTATATATGCATACATCCCAAAAACTGTGAGGTGACGTGTGCTTAGAGCATCGTGTCTCGCTTGCTAATGAAACTATGAGAAAGTTTTCAACTGAAATTTTATTGATGAAGCAACTTTAATTAGTTTCTTAGTTGGAAAATTTTCAATAATTCTTCAGGAAACTGGGGTATAACACCTCAAATAGCGATTTGACCTAAAACCACAAAAATATATTTTTGGAGCGTCATATCTCGGTTGTTAGAAGGGATACAAAAAAGTTGTCAACTAACAAAATATACAAAAATGTTTGATAAACATTTCTTTAGTTGACAACTTTTTGATATCTCTCCATCTAACCGAGATATGAAGCTGCAAACTTGAAAAGATATTATGCTCGTGCGCCACAGGAATTGCGAGATGGCGTGTGTTCAAAGCGTCATATCTTCATTATTTATAGCGATATCAAAAACTCTTCAACTAAAAAAATATACAAAAATTCTTGACAAACATTCTTTTAGTTAACAACTTTTTGTTATCTCTCCTTCTAACCAATATATAAAGCCTCAATCTTTTCAGATCCTCCCCATCTCCCCTCCCGGAACCCGTCCCCCTTCCAGCTCCAGGACAAATGGAGGCTCTCAGTCGTGCCAACCCATCAATGGCCTCTCAAACCGACGTCCTAAATCGTGTTCAACAGACTCAAGCAGTCGTTGAAGCCCGCCAAATTCGAGTTTCCGAAGACGGAAAAACCGTCGAAATCTGAGCAAAATGAGCTCATTTTCTTCCATTATTAATAGCGTCTCAACTGCCCAAACTCTTTCCTTGTGCTCTCTTAAAATTATTGATTTTTCCAAAAAAAAAGACCATCAAAAAAAGAAACGATAAGCTATCTGACTATACTCGAGTGATTTCAGCTTACCGTTTACCCACCTGCTCAGTTCGCCCCTTCTGTAAATATTTATTGATTTTTTCAATTTTTCCAAAATAAATTTCATTTATCCGGGACGGAATGACTTGACGGGGAATGACAAATAAGTGAACGAATTCGATAGAAAGTGCGCTCTATCGAACATCTTCCCATTCGTTCGATAGAGCGCACTTTCTGAGTGCAAAAATACAAAATTCCAAAAATCCAAAAAAAATCCCTGCAAAACCAAAAAAAGAACCGTAAATTCAATGAGAGAAAAGCAATGTTAGACACGCGTCGCATCGCCAAAAAACACGTCTTTTTCGTCGTTTATGATACGTGGAGAGCGGCTTATGGATCTGCAAAAAAATGATGGGGTAGCGGGAATTTGAATTTCGAAAAAAAAAAATTTCGGTAGGGAAAATGAAACTGAAAAAAAAAACTGAATTTTTGGGAAAATGATACAGTAGACTAGGATTACGGTAGACTAGGGAAAACGAGATGCAGATAACTGAAAAAAAGGCACAGCATACTTCACTGCTCACACCTTAAAGGCGCATGTCAAATATTTTGGGAGGGTCTCACAGCGATTTAGCATATTACAGTAATTATTGAATCTTGGCGTGTCCTACACGTTTTTTCGTAGTGAGATCCATCAGGGCTGTGCGAAAAAAAATTCCGAAAAAAATCGGAAAAATTTCTTTTTCGAAATTTTTAGTCCGAAAAAATTCGAAATACGATTTTTCGGAAAATGACTGAGAAAAAAACCGAAAAAAAATTTTTCGAAAAATTTTCGCCGCCCTGAGACCCATCATGCGCCCTAAAGGTAAACGGACGTTTCTAGCAAAATGCTCATTTGCGAAAATTGTTTTCGAAAGGTCTCACCACGATTTAGTGTCTTGCTGTAGCTTTTTCAGTTATGCAAAAATGAAATTATTCGAAAAAATCGAATTTTTCAGCGTTTCAAAAGGGGAAATTCTTACAGTGCCTTCTTTTTCGTGGCGAGACCCACGCTGCGCCTTTAAGCTTAATACATTTTTTTCTTTGTTTCAGGGCACCCCTCGAGCCGTCAAATTTTGGTGTTTCTTGGTCAATGAATCCGCAAAACCTGTCTTGTCGCAATCGCGCTCTATTGATAAATCAGTTTTCAGAATCAGGAGCCTCTATATTCGCCCTACACCCAATTTATCAATAGAGCGCGTTTAAATCCCATTCAATGTTTCAAAATCAAATCTCTGATTGTGAGTGGATTCTCCATGTTATTCAGTGGACACGAAAGGTGACACAGCATGGGAATCACTGACAATCAAACCTGCGAAACTGACTGCCTCGTCGAATCACACTGTTCCTCAGGTTGTCCATCGCTCGTTCGACACTCTTCCGTCGCTCCCGCGTCTTCACGTTTCCACAACATCGGAATGCACATACACAGCCTGGAATGGGAAGATGGATTATGGGTTACTGTAGGAGGGCAACTCACAAGTGATGAAAAGGGTTAGACCCACTGCTAGGCCAACGGATAGAAGAAGGGAAAGGGTGCCTGTGTCGAATCTGGGCTCCGGTGGTCCGTTGAGCTCATTTGATATTTCTTCTGGAAAAAATCATTTCAAATGGATTTGGATCGATGAGAGAGCTCGTCTCCTGTCTCTCTCTCTCTCTTCCTCTCTCTCTCTCTCTCTCTCTCTCTCTCTCTCTCTCTCTCTCTTTCTCTCCCTCTCTCTCTTTCTCTCTCTCTCTCTCTCTCTCTCTCTCTCTCTCTCTCTCTCTCTCTCTCTCTCTCTCTCTGTCTCTCTCTCTCTGTCTCTCTCTCTCTCTCTCTCTCTCTCTCTCTCTCTCTCTCTCCCTCTCTCTCTTTCCCTGCGCCCCCCTTTTAAAGGCAAGCAGCGTCAGTGTCGGCTGCCGCTTCTGTAGCGCAGTGGCTAGCGCTTTTGCCTTCGGGCAGACTACTCCAGGGTTCGAACCCGCCTGAGGTCAAAATGTTTTTTAATTTTTTTCCTTAGTTATATAAAGGTTCGTAGACACCTCACGTCAATTTGCAGAGTTTTACCAAAGAAAAAACTCACTAATTATCGTTGAAAGTGCTGGAAACCAATCATCTGTCTGTGCGTAGTCGTTCACTTTCGTCAGAATTGCCTTCCGTTCTTCCGATGTGATATATTTTTCAGCTAGTCTTGCAGGCCAAATTACCATCTGAAAAATGAAAAAAATCCTAAAATCTTTATTCATTTTCAGACCCGCAGGACCCACCTTCTTATAGTGCTGCCATACAAACACAATGACCGAATTTCCACAATCTCCAAGAGCCCATCGTCCTTCCAATGCTCGACAAAAAGCCTCGGCTCGTTCCGTGAGTTGTCTGAAAACTGAAAATTTTGAAACGGGGGAAAAGGGTCACGGGAGAAGTAGAGTATTTCAAATGTCAGGAGAAACAAATCATTTTCTCGTTTTCACAACAAACAAGCAGTTTAATTCAAATGGAAACTTTGGACAACAATGAGGATACTCTGTAAGTGTTTTTTGGCGATCCCAGAGTTCCCAAAAAAGTTTAAAAAAAGATTTGGCGTCGAGGGGGTTCGAACCCGGGGGTGGTGGAACCTAAGGCAAAAGCGCTATCCACTGCGCTACACAGGTGACAGGCGCCAGGGGACCTCCTAGCCGTTAAAAGCAGAGAAAAAGAGGGGAGGGGAAGTCCTACCAGTCAATCATGACCCCTGTTTTTCAGTATACTCAAAGATGGGATTGCAATTCCGAAAGTGAAATCGTACGTACCAATTCTAAAAGAGCGAAATGGACACGAGTATCTTCAGAATGAGGAGACTTTCCGTGGAAAGTTTTTGGTCAAGGTACAGTAGTTCCAGTTTCTCTGAGCTTCATTTTCTTAGGGACTAATCGGTCGTGGTGGATACGGTCAGATCTACTATGGCTCCGACGCCACTTTTCCCGAAGACGTCGTCATCAAAATCGAGCCAGTTGTTCGGAACGGACGGACTGGGAAGAGGATGCTTCTGGAGCAAAAGATACTGTATCGTTTGCAAGGAAGACCTCATGTACCGATTATGTGTGCTTCTGGACACACGGAACATTTGAATTTTATAGGTGAGGCTTCTCGGTTTTTTCTCTCGCTCTCTCACTTTCTCTCTTTCTCTCTCTTTCTCTCTCTCTCTCTCTCTTTCTCTCTCTCTCTCTCTCTCTCTCTCTCTCCCTCTCTCTCCCTCTCTCTCTCTCTCTCTCTCTCTCTCTCTCTCTCTCTCTCTCTCTCTCTCTCTCTCTCTCTCTCTCTCTCTCTCTCTCTCTCTCTCTCTCTCTCTCTCTCTCTCTCTCTCTCTCTCTCTCTCTCTCTCTCTCTCTCTCTCTCTCTCTCTCTCCCTCTCTCTCGCTCTCTCTCGCTCTCTCTCGCTCTCTCTCTCTCTCTCTCTCTCTCTCTCTCTCTCTCTCTCTCTCTCTCTCTCTCTCTCTCTCTCTCTCTCTCTCTCTCTCTCTCTCTCGCTCTCTCTCTCTCTCTCTTTCTCTCTCTCTCTCTCTCTCTCTCTCTCTCTCTCTCTCTCTTTCTTTCTGTCTCTCTCTCTCTCTCTCTTTCTTTCTTTCTTTCTTTCTCTCTCTCTCTCTCTCCCCCCCCCCTCCCTCTACCTCCCTAGGAGAATCTGAGAGAGCGCAGAGAGCCCTGAGAACTTTAGCTTCTCTGCGTCCTCTTTCCCTCCCTCTCCTTCCCAAACTGTCGTAAAATACAATGCCGTGTCCGCAAACACCCCACTAATTCCAGTAATGCAACTCCTGGGTCCCAACATCGGAGATCTCAAAAAACGGAGTCCCGTGCGGCGTCTGAGCCCAACTACCGTAGCCAGAATCATGATTCAGGGCATTGCGGCACTTCGTGACGTTCACTCATTGGGATACATTCATCGGGATGTGAAACCGGCGAATATGTGTTTTGGCATAACGCAGAATGTAAGGTTACTGTAGGTTTAAAGGGGTACTGTAGGCTGAGGAGGGTACTGTATGCTTTAGGGGTTACTGTAGGATCATTGAGAGTATTGTAGGTTCATGGAATGACTGAAGGTTCTAGAGAGCGGGATTACGGTAGGCTCCTGAGGTTACTGTACCCTCATGACAGACTAATTGAGATTACGGTAGCTATAAGGGTTACTGTAGTTTTTATTGAGATCCTAAACCCTATTTTCCAGACCCGCCACGTGCTAAAACTTGTGGATTACGGTATGGTTCGGAGGTACAAAAATCAGGATGGAGAACGTCGGAAACCCAGATATCGACCCGGATTTAGGTCAGTTTTTTCGAAAAACAAAATGGCGGAAAATGGGTCTCGCCACGAAAAAGAATACTGTAGAACTTTTCTAAAAACCCGCGACCTATGGCATTCTCTAAAAATACAGTAACCTGCTCAATCGCGGCGAGACCATTCCCAAAACAAGGTTGTCTGCGCCTTTAAGGTATCTAGTCTTCAGGGGCACCCTCCGCTACTCGTCTGTTCGAGTTCACGACGGAAAAGAGCAAGTACCAGCTGATGATTTCGTCTCAATGGCCTACTCGGGAGCCGAACTTTTACTCGTAAATCTTCCATGGAAACTGGTCTGTGTCGATGATATCCGACAGGCGAAATGTGATTTTGTGGGTCCCATTTTTGCGGTGCCCTTTTATTAGAGATCATATTTTCAGCACGCCCCGAATTCCCCCTTCCTTTTGCTCACCGGACCATTCTTCTCCGTGTTTTGTGGAGCTATTTTCAGTCTTCGCTCTACTGATGAGCCAGATCATACCTCATTACAACAGCTTCTTTCGGTGAGGACAATCGAATAGAAGGGCATCGTGAAAGTTTTTTTTTAGGAGATGACCGGTGGTAAATCATTGAGAGAGGCCTACGATTGGGAGGAGAATTATCGGGATGCGATGGGAAGTGAGTTGGGAGTTTCGGCAAGCTGCCGGGCAAAGTGATCAACTTGCCGCTAAAAAGTGGACAAGTTGCCTGCAAAAACGGCAAGCTGCCTGTAGAGATGGCAAGTTGCCGGTGGCCTTTGGCAGGCAAAGAGCGTTTTGCCGTGCGATTTCACAAAACTTTCCGCTGACCAGTTATCAGCAAGAACTGCATGTTGCCTACTAGGACGGCAAGAATAGGACAAGTTGCCTGCAAGAACGGGGCAAGTTGCCACAAAAACAGGGCAATTTGCCTTTCAGAACGGGGCAAGTTGCCAGTAAGAATGGCAAGTTACCGACTAAAACGGCAAGTTGCCAGGCAAATTTGAGAAGCTTGCCGCTTGCAAAACGGAAATTTTCCCACAAGAAGGGCAAGTTGCCGCTTGTTTGCCTAAAAACCCCGGGCGTCTTTTTTCATTTCTATGTTTCCAAATCCCAAAATCCCAATTTCCAGGTTCGACAACCGAAAGCATCTGACCTATTTGACCTATTGAACTCGTGTTTACTCGCATATAAATATTTTATTATTACTCTGAGCAATTCCTGATGTTTTCTGAGCCATAAATATTTCCTTTCCCAGAAAAGTAAACATTATTTTTGATTTTCTCGATATAAAAAGACTCACGTGTCACTGGGAGAGTGCATATGCATGTAGAGATTTTTGACGATGGCAATGGAGACAATGAAGCCATGAAGGCCCTCTTTTCCGCCGCTTCCTGGAATGGGTTATGGGATTGGTGAGGGTGGAGAATTGGTTGAGAATTGGGGTCCGTGCCACTTTGTGACCAGACGTTTTGCAACTGATGAATCGCGGTTTCAGCTATCTGATGCTAGTTTCAAAACGCCTGGTTACAAAACGTCGCGTAGCTCGAAATTGAACAGAACTAGGTGAAAAATTAAAAAAAAAAATGAGAAAAGCTTATGTTCTTACTTAAAGAAAATTTCAGAATTTTATGAGGTTTTGGGATGTTGATTCTGAGATTTTTGGATGAGCACCTCTAGATCTGGAATTCAATTTTTGACCCTGGACGACCTAGTTTTGTGAAGCTCGGACCTCTAAGTTGATCTGACTGTAAGGAATAAAATTCTCTATCAATACATATCATGTAGGGTTGCTCCAGAAAATACCAGCCAAAATCGAAGAAAACTGAAAATTCAGCTTGAACTTCCGTTTTTGCGTTTTTCAGACCAATTTTTCTTAAAGAACCTATATAATATTTACATCGATCGATAGCTAATTTTTTGATCTACCGAACCATAACGCAACTCATCTAGAATTTTGATTATTGAGCCTTGTTGTCTGAAAAAAACTTGGGGCTCTGATTTGGGTATCTCAGATGATTGCAGCCATTTTTTCTATTCGAAGGACCAATTTTTTGGGCTACTGAAAACATTGATTTGTAGATCAAAAAATTCTCAATCGATTGATATGTATATCATGTAAAATTTTCTCAGAAAAAATGAATCAAAATCCACAAAGTTCGAAGTTCATTTTTTAGTTTTCGGATTTTTTTTCTGACTTTGAGTCCAGTTTTCTGGAACAACTTTATACCGATCGCTAGAAAAAGTTTTTCATCTCATGAATTCTTAAAACTGAGCTCTCCCTGCGTCAAAAACTGTCAATAACTCACCTTCAATTCCAGTGGTGCATTGTGACCTTCTCTGACAATGACAAGGTGTTCCAACTGCCAATTCTTGAAGTTGAATGTTCAGTTGCATAGCTGTAATTTGTTAAAACCATTTCCAGAACACCTTTTTTTTCAGAATTTCATTCTGGCTGAAAACCACTGCTTAAAATTTCCTAATTTTCTTTTTTTCCCTTTATTTTCCCCACGATTGAGCCCATTCGTTTTAGTACACAACAATTTTTTGGTTCAAGTGCCACATGTTCTTTTTATTATTTTTCTTCCTCATTCTTTTTCTTCTTCCCCCTATTCTTTCTTTTTATTACTATGCTTTTTTGTGTTGAACAAGAGGAAAAAGAAAAGAACAAAGAATTCTTTCTTCAGAGAAACATGAGGACAACTCGAGCACTCCCTAACCTTGT